TACATTTGTAGAAGACAATATTATGGTAACACAATGGTTACGAGGTGTAACTAAAAGATAAGAGCTGTTCTCAGCAAAACCATTTTTTTGTTAAATTATTTTTCGGTGATACCAACAGTCACAAGCTAAAGCACAATCGCACTTTTTGTTACAAGCTGCAATCCAATATATCCTTCCCACCAAGTAAGTTAATTTCTATATGTTCTTTTTTATTCTACTTAGTTAATGGATTCAGATACTACTTTGCGAAAATTTATAAAAAAGTGAGGAGGGCCAGTCTTCGTGCCGGATGAAGTCGATTTCACGCGCCGCCAGCCAGTCTTGTGAGCTCTTCGCTCTATGAGCTGGCGCCGAATCTTGTTGGAATACCCAGTGCCTGTTATTGAACATGGTATGAGAAACAGGTTCCACAAGGTTCGTCAGGACTGTATTTTGATACACAACTGCATTCGTTTTTACACCTTTCTCACAAAAATGTACATCTGTTAAGCACCAATAAGAAACTCCCAACCATACCATGAGCGAGGATGGAAAATGACCTCGTTGGACACGCGGAATACGGTTGCCCGCTTCTTCACTACTGTGTGCGTACTCCTTATCATTTTGTTTGTTGTAGCTCTCTTCTACGGTAAAAATTTTTTCATCTGGAAAAAGAATATTTTTTTCCCGCGTACCGCTTCAACAAAGCGCGGCATCTCTTCAGTCTCAGGTCCATTAGACGAGCATTCAAACGATGTCCTGTTTTTCTTCGATATGCCCGAAGCCCTAAGTCTTCATTTAACACCCTTTTCACCGTGGTTCTGCTTAACCCCATCTGAAGGGTCAACAGTTTCTGCTTACGTTTGGGATTTCTTTGAATTCGCGCCTTCACAGCTTTTATCACTGCTGGAGTCCTAAAAGACCGAAGGCGACCACTTCTTGACCTGTCATCTACACTAGAGTCTTCATTATATCGTTTGATGGTACGATAAACGAATCTTTTGGTTATATTCAAATTTTTCAGTATGTCACAAATTTGAATTGGCGCGTAACCGCAACGATGCAACGCAATAACTGCAACACGGTCTTCTTTAAGCGTCCACTCCATATTTAAAAATGAGTAAAATTCTAAAAAGTATACATTTTTATTTTCATGAACAATTCGAAATTCGAATTCAATAAACTTTTTTGTGGCCAGCATTCTAAAAGAAAAGTTTTTACTGTGTGACAACACTTATGACCTGACTGTGTATAATAAAATTCAGTGTATTTTAAGCATCCGCGTAGTGGCTGGCAAGTCTAGCAAGAGCTTGTTATTGCAATTTTTTAGAGGTAAACGGACTGATTGTTGACTGAATGAGTCAAAGATCTTTGTCGTAAATATTGTATTTGTAAGTTACCTATTTTTAGTAACCACTAAAATTAGTCACAACAACAAGTAACCGTTCGGCCAAAGAAGTAGTTGAAGATGTTGTCTAATGTTTATTTATTTATATTTATAACCTGTTTTAAATCTGTCCAGTCGATATATTTTGACATCGATTCTCGATTCACTGATCGTGGGCCGTCAATGGTTCATGAAGTTTGACGTGTGCCAATCTATTCATGCTAAATTTTACGGTGTGTAATACCCATAGGCACCTACCTGTGTACTTTTAGAATACTTTAGGACCCATTTAACTTATATTGTAAGGTATTTTTTGTACACGAGGAACTATACCAATAAAACGAGCATAAAAAACTTAATACAACATTTATTCTACACTCTTTACACGCAAAATAGGCGCCTTGACGTCGAGTTGCGGACACCAGCCCGTTACTCCAAGTACCAAGTACACTCTTTACAAGTTATTATGATACACTTAATCTACGGTAACTATCTATGGTAACTACCCTCTAAGTTTGACTATGGACACTGAGTGTCCGGAGATGACGCGCGCACGCGCATGTCGGCAGTGTTTGTTACAAAATCCATAATTTCCTAAAGAAGTAAAGCTAGTTTTATTAGATTATATAAATTGTGCAATTGTATTTATAATAGAAATTTTGATATACAAAGGTGTACCTACCTACTAGACCAGCCCCCGTAGCATGGCGACGTATGATAGTCGCGACGCGCGCGATAAAATTGGAATGAGCGCGCGCTATTGTCTGTCTTAATCAAATCTAATTTAGATATCGTTGCGACTATCATGCGTAGCCATGCTACGGGGGCAGTAGTTGATATACTAATAACTTTACAAAATTAATAATAAGGCAAATTAGGGGATGAAAATGATTTGTCGAACTTCAGTCACTTCGGTTAAACGAGACAGACGAGAGGAACTCTTCAACAGTATATAGTAGCTACCTCATGTTTGGGCTTATACGATTCGTTTTGACGAGAATTCGTTTCTACATGCGTTTTAATTGTCGTTGAGTAGGCCGCGTTTTAGTTACTATTGCTGAGACTGCGGCAAAAGTTTTGAAGTCGGTTTTTTTAATAAAAGTTATAATTATCGCCTTGCTGTATGATTCCTGTGGCAACTTATAGTACTTATAAATCTTGTGATCCTTCCAGATACGGAATTAGATTAACAAATGGACATTGCAATATTTTTTATGTGTACGTCTTACATATATAACTTACAATACAAAGTGAAGTTAAAATTATACAAAGAGTATTATTAAAAATAAATAAAGCTCATACTAAACCTAAAATTAAAATTGTACTGACCACCGATATCATTTTCTTATGTACTTTAAAAGTTTTTTTTTTCAATTACTTTTTGCATTCGTTATAACTTCATATCACTTGAATTTTAAGCGTCTATTATCATAATGAAATTCTAGATAAAAGTAGAAACAAAAAATGCACTCAACGCACTCAAATCTTAGAGCGTTTACACACGGCGATGCAGTTGCTAGTTGTCTACTTTTACACACACGCGCAACTTAAGCAGCAATACAATCTCGATGCAATAGCAATGCAAACGCGGTGTACGTTTTTGGTGATTCAACATAAGCGCCAGCATCGATGCTGCTATAAATCGCAAGAGTTGCGATGCAAATGCGCGTTTCACAAAAAAATTGCCGTGTGTAACCGCTCTTACAACAGTTATCGTATCGATTTCTCAAAAATTAAACAATTCAATCAAAGACATACTACACACATCGAGTATATAACCAGAAATAGAGACGAAATAAGGGTCATCCATCCCTGGAAACTCATCAGACAAATGGGCCTTATATCACTTTTAAATGTCAACTCTCGTTTGCGCTGAAATCACAAATTAGAAAGCTGAAATAGTACAGCGCCAACAACTGTCCTGTGTGTACGTCTCCGTATATTTCAAAAATATTCTGTATTTATTGTAATAAAGATAATATCTCTAACTATGAGGGGCTTTCCATTCGATGGTGTGGGAAAAGCAACAAAATATGTAATTACAAAACAAACAGAATCATATTTCATCGGTAATCAAATATTAAATATGTAATTTTTCAATTTTCGTCTATTATAGCAAAGCTCAACTTAAATTGGTCGATTTGAAGTGAAACAATTAAAGACACCCGTCAATTGTTTCGAATTCGAGCTGGCCATTTGGAGCGCAGTTGACATCGTAGTGATTTGGCAGAATAGTTTTGAAAGAAATTAAGTGACATTTCGTCTCTATTTCTGGTTATATATGCGATGCCTACACGTCGTGAAATTACATTTTCTTAATAAATTTACATAATTTGGAAGTGTCAATGAACCTTAGCGTTAAAAACAATTGAAGATCGGTGCCTGTACCATGAGTTTACTGTGACAACTGTCGCTAGCGACCGCGTGTATTACTTCACAATTTTGTTTCGTAAATTATACTACATCCCTGGCGGTCACAGGAAGAAACAACATTTTGTATACAAATATTTTACGCGGTCGTTAGTGAGAACTTTCACTGTAATTTCGTGGTTGAGGCACTAACTGCAAATGAACTATTTCAATCTTGATTTATTTACTAGGCATGGTCTGTACAGTCATCAAGTTCAGTGAGCCTAATACAATAGACCATACAATAAAGCCACATGTGATCATACGTCAAAAGTGCTTTTATCACATGAAAGTCATAAAAATAATACGAACTACATGAAACAAATGTATTAAGTGTAAATGTATATATTATTGTAATTATGTAGCTTGTATTTAACAAGTCCCATGTGCCTCTAATTTTAATAGCACCCTTACCCTTCAAAACCGGAATGAATGCAGCAATTGAAACAGGTAAGGTGGCAGTACTTTCCTGGACGAACTCTTTCACAAGGAGCTGTACTGTTATAAAACAAGTTCAAGCTTCAAAGTTGTCATTTTGAAGATGTAGCCTTATTACATCAAGAGTGCCGATTTTTTTTCAATCTTTACATGAACTTTTCAATGTAGTTACTTATCAATACTACCTGTCAATATTAACAGTTCATTTTACTGACGTGTAATGAATTGAAATGCACTTGCAATTATTGAATTTTTTTTTTATAGAAACATACGTAAAAAGAAAGTTCAGATGTGGCTTTATTTCACCAAGGGTGCGTCTGAATTGGTATATACATATGTAGGTACTGTCGTACGAACCAAGCCAAATAAGGACCTTTGTGGACCTAATGGATATCTCAATATATCCATTGCTATCATTGACTTACAAATAAATGGACGACGGGTCTAATACAAAAACCACGAAAAAAATGTCCCAAGTCAACGTAAACGTAGTGACATGTAAAGGAATATGAAAAAGCTAAAACGTTGAATTTAAATTGTAATGTCATCGCAGTACTGTCTAATTTTGCTTGCTTCGCTGTCAGTCGAACAAACGAAGACTAAAGCGTGAATGACGCTCTGTATACGATTTTAACGCCCTATAAGTTCGGACACTTTTTAGCGCGGATCCGACGTCCATATAATTGTAAGTCAATGTTTGCTATACATAATAAACACTGATAAAAACAGTCAGGTCAAACAAGCAGTGACAAACGCACAAAACTACAGACCATCAGTCTGTTCTTACTTCACAAATGAAGAAAGTTTCGAATGAACATGGGGAATCGTTCCACTTTAACCCTTTGTCGTCTCTATTCCAGAGTTCAAGGCAGTTTTCTTCTTCACCGTTCTCATATCGGAAGTTGTTAGGTTCCCCTGCATTCCAGTTGACGAATGTAAGGGGTCTGCCGTTCGCCATCCAGAAGAAGTTGCCTTCTTCTGCTAGATCGGTGCCTGATGTCCAGAAATGTTCACGACCGTATCCTGGAATAGAATATTCAATCTATGTTATCTATGAATCTTGTTTTGGCTCGGTTGAAATGTATTTTTAAAATATTATTGATGCAAAGATCGAAGCTACACAATAAATATTCCTTCTATCCGATTGGACTACGTGTAGCCACGTTGAGGCGACAGATGCTGGTGGCAGTCGGATTGAAAGAATTTTTCTTTGTGTTTGTTCGATATTTATATCAATATAATAAGAAACTATAGTGCAGTATTATTACAAAAAATAGATGAATGACATGGTATAAATACATGCATAATGTTAAAAAGAAATATGTTAAAGATGGAATAAACATTTTGACACATTATTTAGTGCACCGGTAAAAATATATACACCATTTTGCAAAAAAACCGAGCTCCTAATGAATATTCCATGTTTAATTACGCATACTGGCCGCTAATAATGAACATTCCAAAATTATATTTTAAGGCAAAAATTCTTCAAGTTACGTCGTTTTTTTTCCTGTTCATTTATGGTCAGTTGTGCAAATATTCCTTAGTTTCACCATTTTATTGATTAATAGAAGTACTGCACAAGTAGGGTTCACTTAAACAAGTTTCATTACGACTCACTGTAGTAGCTAGTAATCTCGTCACTCTTTTCGTTGAAGGTTTTAACACAAGTTGTGTAGCCCTGAGGCTCGAAATTTCGCATTCTAAGGTTCAAAGGATTTAGAAGAGGTTTCAAGAGATTGATTCTTTCAGTAGAAGGTCTGGTTCTGGAAGGAAAAGATGTACAGTGCATAGGAATGATCGATTCCTTGTCAATCAGGGCATAAGAAATCGACGAAAATGTTACAAAGAATTTAAAATCACCTACAAAAAGTGAGAATACTGAAAGGACGACTTATCGTAGCAGGTATACGTTCTGAAAGATCTGCTAGAGGGCCAAAATTACTCCGTGGACATCTACATAACTTTTGTTATGTATGATCATCACAATAGGCACGGCATCAATGGGCATTTATTATCTAAGGAAAAGGGTGAATTATGGCCTACGTAATCCACCACAAGTGCCCGATATGATGATTGAGGACTTCAGACGTTTTCCAAGAGACACGAAACTTTTGATGACTATATTTTAATTCGCTTGAAAGGAGAGGTATTGCTAGTAAACTTTCGTAACATAGAGATTGAAGCCAATGTGTAGTTTCGCCACAGAGATTTGAACTATCAGCGAAGTAATAAAAGCTCGATAAAAAATTGTCAAGATGGCGTCGCCTCTGTAGCTAGCACGAAGCGTCGCCGTCGCGGGCCGAATAATTGTGATTATTTTCATTATAATTGTGAGTTAAGGAAGTGAATCTATAACCAATATTGTGTATTAAGCTGGTTCCTACAGCGTTCAGTGTAGGGTACTGTGCGTGTCTTGAGAACCGGATGAACTCAGTGGTGACAAGTGACAACAGTCTATGACGGTCCTGTACACTGGCTGATCTGGGGTCAGAACTTGAACTTAAAAGATTCCTGTGCACGCACAGGTTATAGTGCCCTTCTCGCATAGCCTAGCGATCGGTATAATCAAAAATTATGTAGAAAGGTACGGGGGCTAACTCCTACAGTGCATCAAATACGTTTTTAAGGAATATACACGTTAAGTTAGTATTTCTTTCGGAGACTTCGTATGTTATTCGGAAGTACTGTTTTTTCATAGTGTTGACTGTCAACCGTGACCATGGGACCTGTAAAGGGCCCGAAACGTCGGTTTGTTTGAAAAAACAAATATACGCGATTTAGATCCGGAAAAATAGTTTCATTTCCTAAGCTTTTCATTGTTTGCTAAATAAAAATTTGTCTTATCGTTATTTTCTGTCCTTATTTTTCAGTAAACTCATTTTAACGCAGTTAGTATTAAAGTTAACAAAGTTCACAGCAATTTAATTTCTTTATTATTTCCCGAACTATCAACTTCTCCATTGAGAAGCAGAGGTTCTCCCACTAGACGATCGCCGCTCTTTTAAATTTAAAATATAAGTCAATTATATTTCAAAGATAAACATTCTGAACTTAGTTTTAAAGACGCTAATTTTCTTTCCACAATTTCCCTATAGTAAAAGTTGTTCTTGGTGATTGACCTCGCGGATTTATTAGCTAGTTTATTTTTTCAACATTACAAATTTCATACAAATACAATTACATGTCATTTTATACTACTATCGAAAAGTGAGCGTCAATTTACAATTTATATAATAGTGATTCTTAAGTACACAATAGTGTACATATACAAAATCAACATAATTAATTAAACTAATAAATTGAATGAAACTAACAATGTCAAGTGTATATAGGAAACGTCAATATAAATTCTTAATAACTAATAAATGTTTATTACAGTATATTAATACGGTGAATGTCAAATTCATTAATAAATATAATAATTTAATTATTTAT